CCACCACCATATTTTTGATCTCATCTCAGTAAATGTCCAAAATACCATTTCTGTTCGGTTAACCCCCCTCACCAAAAGTATTAACATAGCAGAACATAGGTTAGCGGAGCCCTTTTGGACATTTATAGGTTGTCTCTCTAGCTTAGTAAAATTAGAGCAACGTATTGTAAAAACTACTCCATCCATTCCTAAATATAAGACCTTTTAGGGATTCCACTATAGAGTACATAGGGAGCAAAATGAGTGAATCTACACTATAAAGTATGGTCTATATACATCTGTATGTAGTTCATAGTGAAATCCCTAAAAGGTCTTATATTTAGGAACGAAAGGGAGTAATCACCATGGAATGCAGAAAAAGGCACAATGCATGAGTATAATTTGTTTTTTGTCCACAGTACTTTATTAATGTCTACTCCCTCCGTTCCGAAATAGAGGGGTCAACTATTTTGGAACGGAGGGAGTATATTTGAGAGAATCCTTATAGTGACTACAGGTAAACTGTGGCAAGCAAGATGGCCCTCTCATCAGTTTTCAGGAGAGTAAACATCAAAGAACTGATCTCAAATGTTCCAGTGTACACTAGCTCAACAGGTAATGAGCTTAGGCTTTAGACAGTCTGTGACATCAAAGTTTAGAATTTATATCTTCTTCCTTTTCTGGGCCAGTGGCCTGATCCTTATTTTGTATGTACTTAATTCCAGAGACATCTGGAGGAATGAGCTTGGTGTTTAGGCGTTGGGCCACAAAAAAGACTGCTGGGTCAACGAAAAATGGCCGCGACTCTAACCCCAAGTATCTGGGTGTTAAGAAATTTGGTGGAGAGGTACCATCTTCAAGTGCTCCTCATGGTTTTGATGTTTCTTCTTGTTCATGACCTTGAACCAGATTAGCTGAATAATTTCCTAAATTACATGAAAATAGCTAATACTTTTGCCCAAATGATAAGTGCCACACGTTTGGCACGAAGTAACACCACCCAGACCTTTTTTACATGAAAGTTACCAAACGAAAAAAAACTCCAAAAAAACTGAAACTTGCCATCCAAACAGAAAGTTGCCATGCTTCACAACTAAAGTTGCCATCCTCGGGTAACTAAACTTGTCATAAAAAACATCAGGGCGGAATTGCTTCATGCCACACATGTGGCACTTATCAGGGTCCTACTTTTGATATTTTGGCATCTGCTTTAATCATACCATACATCGTAACATTGGTAGTCGCTGTACTCATCTCATTATTATAGCCAAAAAAAGGAAAATGATCTCATACCGCTCTCCAACGTTTACACTTGTTTTATTTTTCCAGAAAGTGGAACCAGGAAACATAATCGTACGACAAAGAGGAACCCGCTTCCATCCTGGGAACTATGTTGGCATGGGGAAGGATCACACTATCTTCTCTCTGAAGGAAGGCCATGTGTGGTTCGAGCGGAATAAACTGACTGGCAGGAAATGGATTCATGTTGAACCTGTAGCTGGGCACACTCTCCACCCTGTTTACGCCAATGGTTCAGCCACTGCAGCTGACATGGAGCTACTGTAGTGTTGATGTGTGCGTGGGTTGCAGTGACAAGTTGCTGATAGCCTACTGGGCATGGCTCTGCTGTTTTGCTCCGACATGGATACCTTCCATAAATGAACTTGTTCTAGTGAAAATGTTTCTGGGCTAGGATGATTGCAGTAAGTAACTTCAGTGTGTTTCTGATGTCATTTTAAGTATCCATTCTGCATGAGACATTGAAGGTTCGCTTGTGTAATTTGTTTGCTCGTATAGTCGTATGCTGCTGCTTTTCTCCAAAATCAACAGCGTACCCTGCTGTTTGGTCTATTCTAAAGTTCGCATATATACTGACTTGTGATTCATTGTGGTTGCTGTTGCCGGCAAACCATATGAACAGCTCGCCACATCACCACATGGTGCCTGATGGCCATAGCAGGTGCTGCCCGCTGCTGAACTTCCAAGTGATTGTCTGTGTTGACTGCGTTCTGATTGTGTCCTCCCACATGGTGCCTGATGGCCATAGCAGGTGCTGCCCGCTGCTGAACTTCCAAGTGATTGTCTGTGTTGACTGCGTTCTGATTGTGTCCTTTTGGGAGGAACTGTATGGGTTGTTGTAGCTGAAACCTTGGTTGCTAGTATTTCTCTAGATCATCATGATATTTCTTTCTGCAGTAGCTTTCTGAGTCGCCGGTGTAATGTTTTCTGGTAGAATGCTAATGTCCAGTTTTATGTCTACTTCACCTGCTTTTCTGGTGTTTCTAACGCTCAGCAAGAGAATGTACGCGGAAATTTATCAGAGCCTTGGATTGTTTATTGGTTTTCACACTGAAAACAGGCACAGGTACAGTCTTTATCAAAATCTACAATAAAAACAGCTAGGGAAAAAAATAAGATGCATGTCTACAAAATTTGATTGTTTCATTTAGATCAATTTTAGATCTTTTCTCCAAACAGCCAGTGGGTGTAGAATGCCAGCGATTCTTTGGGCTTGTACTCAGGAACAGTGTGTCCAGATCCCTGAAACATGGTGCTTGTCAGAAAACCTCAGCCATATAATAAACTCTTGTCGATTTAAGTTTGTGTCTCTACAACATTCTCCAGATGGACTTCAAAGCTTGCTTACATGCCTTTATGGCGAGGAAGGTGAGATTGTGATCATAGCCTTGTGTATATCTGCGGTCGCATAAACTTAAATCAGTTCAGATAAATGTTTTTTTTATGTTTTGTTAATCCTAGCATGAAGTCCAAAACAGCTAAGGACCGGGCAACTCTACTTAACTAATGAGACGAGGCAAAACATTTGCCTCCGTTTCAAAAAAATAGTGATAAAAACATGCATGCTAGTTATGTTAGCCAGAGTTCTTGTCATCTATCAATTGGCGCATCAGATGGCAGATATATAACTAAATCAGAAACATATGTGAATGGTGAATAATCAAGGAGAAAGATGTACAGTTGTAGAGAAAAATGGTAGAACATCATACCCAGCAACTTGACCCCCAAAGCGCCATGGTCGCCATGAATTGACAACTCGGTAGCTGATAGGAGCTAGGGTTTTGCCCTGCCTAGGGTGTAGGCTGTAGGGGAACGAGGGAGGTGGGTGAGGGCTGGAGCGCGGCGGCCGGTGGCGGGGCGCCGTCCTTGCGGTTCGGCGGCGGCGGCGCAAGCAGGAGGCGGCTAGGGTTTAGGGTTCCGGCTCCTCTGGGAGCCGGGCAACAGAATAGTCTTATTGCTTAAATCTGAAAATAGTCTTACAACTTGTATATATAACCATGATCTGAAAATATAACTAAGATAACTTGCGGCCTAAGCCTGCCCGGTGGGCCTCCTACGGCTGTAGGCCCGGCCGGTCATAACATCTCTCCCCGCCTGCGCAAACAGCTCGTCCTCTAGCTGAAAATCTGGATAGTGTTGGCGGAACTCCTCCCGCTGCTCCCAAGTAGCATCCTCTTCAGAAAGTCCACCCCACTGGATCAACACGTACCAGGAGCCACGACGTAGCTGAGCCTTCAACGCCTTGGCCGGCTCCGGAAGTAGGCGACCGTCAGCAACCGGCGGTAGAGTGGGGGAAACCGCCGGTGGCTCTCCACGGAAGGGCTTGAGCAAACCCACATGGAAGACATCATGGATCTGTGCACCCGCCGGAAGCTGAAGACGGTAAGCCACCTTCCCAATGCGTTCCAGGATAGCAAAGGGACCGGCATAACGAGGACCCAGCTTCCTCTTCGCACGGGGGTCCAGGGACTGCGTAGAGCGATGAAGTAGACGCAGTCAGACCCAATCCCCACCGCGAACTCCGCCTCGCGATGATTGCCGTCGTAGTAGTGTTTGGCCAACTGTTGGGCCTGGAGGAGGCGTTGCCGAACTTCTGCCAGCATCTCGTCACGGTTCCGCAGAAGAACCCCGGCCGCCTCGGTCCGCGCCAGGGCCGGATCAACCGGAAGAATCAACGGTGGTGGCCGGCCATACACCACCTCAAACGGCGTCGCACGGAGGGCGGAGTGATAAGAGGTGTTGTAGCAGTACTCCGCCCATGATAGCCAGTCGACCCATGCACGAGGGCGATCACCTGTGACACAACGCAAATACATGGCAATCACCTTGTTAACGACCTCAGACTGGCCGTCGGTCTGAGGATGGAAGGCTGTGCTCAGGCGGAGCTTAACGCCTGCCAGCCGGAAGAGGTCGCGCCAGACATGTCCAGTGAACACGGGATCCCGATCACTGACGATCGAGGATGGAAACCCGTGGAGACGGACAATACCGTCGAAGAAGGCCCGAGCAACAGATGTTGCCGTGTAAGGATGCCCGAGCGCGATGAAGTGGGCATACTTGGAGAAGCGATCGACCACCGTGAGAATGACGGACTTGCCGCCCACTTTGAGGAGGTCCTCGAAATGTCCGCCCAGACCTGGGACGACACCTCCAACGGCTGGAGCAACCCAGTCGGCCGAAGCGTCTCCGTCTTGTTGCGCTGCCAGGTCACACACGACCGCACCCAGTCACGAACCAGGGCACAATCACCTGGAATGTAGAAGTCGGCGCGGAGACGATGGAGCGTCTTCTGCACACCCTCATGGCCCGCTGAGTGAGCGAGGCGCAACACCTGGTGACGAAGATCATCATGCGCCGGGACGAAAACTCGGCGCCCATGTAGCAGCAGGCCATCGGCGAGGCGCCACGGCGCATCCAGCTCCCCCGCAGTGAGCTGCTGCTGCAGGAGAAGCGCGTCGGCCGCCGCAGCCGTCGCCCGCCGGATGTCGGCGAAGAGCACGAAAGAGGGCCCGGTGATGATGCAGAAGGCCGCTCCCTCAGCTGACCCATCGTCAGTGTCGGCGTCACGCCGAGATAGGGCGTCGGCGATCGTGTTAAGGCGACCCGGACGGTATTCGACAGTGAAGTCAAACCCGAAGAGCTTACTGATCCACTGGTGCTGCGGTACGGTCGAGAGCCTCTGATCCAGCATGAACTTGAGGCTGTAGTGGTCCGTCCGGATCCGGAAGGAGCGACCCTAAAGATAGGGCCGCCAATGACGCACCACCTGCACCAAGCCAATGAGCTCACGCTCATAGGCCGCCAGCTTAAGATGGCGGGCGGCAAAGGGCCGACTGAAGAATGCGAGGGGTCCATCGCCCTGATGAAGGACCGCACCGAAACCCGCACCTGAGGCGTCGCAGTCAACGGTGAACGGTAGGTCGAAATCAGGCATCTGCAGGACGGGACCCGTCGTGAGAGCCCCCTTAAGGGCCTCGAACGCGGTGGTGGCCTCCGCATCCCAAGAGAAGGCGTCGCGACGGAGAAGGCGCGTGAGCGGGGCCGCGATGACACCAAACTCCCGGATGAATTACCGGTAGTATCCCGCAAGGCCCAAAAAGCCGCGGAGAGCCCTGGGTGACTGCGGAATCGGCCAGGCGGCGACGGCCGCCACCTTGTCGGCGTCCATGGCCACTCCCTCGGCCGAGATGACATGGCCCAGGTAAGCAACCGAAGGTGTCCCGAACGAGCACTTCGAGCGCTTAAGATGAAGATGATGCGCCCGAAGCTCGTTGAAGACGATGGCCACATGCTGGAGGTGCTCTGCCCAAGAGGCGCTGTAGATAAGAATGTCATCAAAGAAAACGAGCACAAACCGACGTAAGTAGGAACGGAGGACATCATTCATCAAGGCCTGAAACGTCGCCGGGGCGTTGGAGAGGCCAACGGGCATCACCAAGAACTCGAAGTGGCCGTGATGAGTCCGAAACACCATTTTGGCGATGTCGTCTGGATGCATGCGCACCTGATGGTACCCCGACCGGAGATCCAACTTCGTGAAGAAGCGCGCCCCCTGTAGTTCATCCAGGAGTTCATCCACCACCGGGATAGGGAACTTATCCTTAAGTGTGACAGTATTAAGGGTGCGATAGTCGATGCAGAAGCGCCACGTGCCGTCCGACTTGCGAACGAGGAGGACCGGCGCCGTGAATGGTGATGTGGAGATCCGGATAATGCCCGCGGCAAGCATGAGTGCACACTGTCGCTCCAACTCGTCCTTCTGCAGCTGAGGGTACCGGTAGGGCCGCACTGCCACCGGTGCCGAGCCCGGCAGGAGGTGAATACGGTGGTCGTAGACCCGAGCCGGCGGAAGGCCCTATGGGTCCTCAAAGAGATCACTGTGCTGCTGCAGGAGGTTATTTAACAGCGGATGCTCGGCCTCAGTGGTGGCCGCGGCCAACTGGAGCGGAGGCGTCGCCGGGGTGCCTCCAACGCCCTCCCACCGGATGCGTCGGCCGAGATGCCAGAAGGTCATCGTCAGGGCGTCGAAGTCCCAAAGGATGGGACCAAGAGTCCGCAAAAAGTCAACGCCGAGGATGAAGTCGAAGCAGCCCAAATCAATGCCGACGCAAGTGATGGTGAAGTGCTCGTCACCGATAGTAATGGGCACGTCCCGAGCGAGCCCATGGCAGCAGAGGCGGTCGCCATTAGCGACGGTGACTCGCAGCTGCTCCCCGCCGATCGGCTGTAGCGCGAGGCGCCGCATAGTAGCCTCAGGTAGGAAGTTACGTGTAGAACCCGTGTCGAAGAGGGCCACCAGAGTATCGCCATGGATCGTGACCGGTACAAGCATCGTTCGCTCATTACGGATGCCGGCCAACGCGTGAAGTGAGACGACGAGTGCCGTAGCCGGCGCGACCTCCGCGACGGCCGGATCTCCGGGTCCAGCATCGGTGTCCTCGTCCTCGGTCTCGTCGGTCGTCTCTAAGTAGAAGAGGCGCGGGCAGACATGGCCCGGGGCGTAGGGCGCGTCACAGTTAAAGCAGAGCCCCAGGCGGCGGCGCTCGAGCTGCTCCGCCTGCGAAAGGCGCCGGAAGGGCCGTGTCGCAGCCGGGGTGGCCGCCGGTGATGCAGCTGAAGGTGCGGGCGCGGGTGGCGGTGGCCGTGGAGGAAGTCGGCTCCCATGAGGCATGGCTGGCCGTGTCAAGGCCTGGGCGCGCTGCTCGAATGCCCGAGCATAGTACATGGCCGTATGCAGGTCTTGGGGCTCCTTCATCTTGACGTCCACGCGGATGTGGTCGGGAAGGCCGCCGACGAAGAGTTCAGCCCGCTGGAGTGCCGTCACCCCCGGTGCATGACACGCCAGAGCCTGGAAACGGTCGGCGAAATCCTGGACCGTGGAGGTGAAGGGTAAACGGCCCAACTCAGACAGGCGGCTGCCGCGCCGTGGGGGCCCGAAACGAAGGAGGCACAACTCGCGGAAACGCTCCCAGGGAGGCATGCCGCCCTTGTCCTGCTCGAGGGCGTAGTACCATGTCTGGGCTGCACCCCGGAGGTGGTAGGAAGCGATCCAAGTGCGCTCCGACGCAGGAGTGCGCTGCCCCCGGAAAAACTGGTCACACTGGTTTAACCAGTTAAGAGGGTCGTCCGAGCCGTCATAGGTGGCAAAGTCGATCCGGACGAACCGGGGCGGCGTCGGGGTCGGCGCGCCAGCGCCCACCGGCTCGGCGATGCGGAGAGCGAATGATGGTGCCCCGGACTGCAGCGGGGGCACTGACGGGTCCCCGGCCTCCGTGTAAACTGGTGGTGGCGACGTCCCGGTAAGCCAGGCCGGAATCGGTGAAGGCGATGGTGGAAACCGCACCTGCTGGATTGGGAGCCCTCCTGGAGTGGCCTGACTTAGGCCGATGTTGGGTGGCGGCGATGGCGCGTGGCTCGGCGCAGCCAGCGCGGGCCAGGCCGGCCACGGGGCTGGGGCGGGCGCGGTAGACGGAGGTGGCGCCACGGGCGCTGGCGCCGGCCACTGTGGCCAGGCCGGCGCTGGAGCGGACGGCGGCTGTAGCGCCGGGTAGCCTCCGGTGAGGGCCGCGGGCACCGAGTACCACGGGAGAGCCGGCGGTCCGGAGGGCACGGGTGGCGGAAGCGGCGGTGGCGGCCCGTACGGGCTGTCCAGGTAAAGCCAGATGCCCTGGACCGCGACGACCAGGTCGTTGAGGACACCGGCCATGGCCTCCGGCGAGTATTGGGCCGGCAGGATCGATGGAGATGGCGGCGTCGTGGTGACGGGGGGCGGCAGCAGGCCAGTGGACGCACCGGAGAGGAGGTCCAGCGGCGCCGATGGAAGGGCCAGCGGGCCCGTGACGATCGGCGAAGGCGCGGCGGCGGTGGTGGTGGTAAGGGGCAACGACGACGATGGTGGTGAGGATGACATGATCGAACCCGAGCTGGATGATACCAAGGTGATAAGAGCTAAGGTTTTGCCCTGCCTAGGGCGTAGGTTGTAGGGGAACGAGGGAGGTGGGCAAGGGCTGGAGCGCGGCGGCCGCCGGCGGGGCGCCGTCCTTGCGGTTCGGCGGCGGCGACGCAAGCAGGAGGCGGCTAGGGTTTAGGGTTCCGGCTCCTCTAGGAGCCGGGCAACAGAATAGTCTTATTGCTTAATTCTGAAAATAGTCTTACAACTTGTATATATAACCACGATCTGAAAATAAAACTAAGATAACTTGCGGCCTAAGCCTGCTCGGTGGGCCTCCTACGGCTGTAGGCCCGGCCGGTCATAACAGTAGCCTAATGATCTGACCCATGCCTCCGTTCCAGTGAAAGGGATACACAGATCATGGTCTCCACTGTACAATTAAACACCCAAAAGTTGTTAAACATCATTTCTCTTTTTCAATAAAGTGATTACATATCGGAAAAATGCAAAGGTGAGCACCGGTACATACCCCGTGTTGCAAAAAAGGGGAGGCTGCACATTTCAAATTTATCACACAAGTATGTATTGCACAAAAGTATTAGCACTAACAAAGTGACAAAGTTACACACTTGTGAGTTATTCGCAAAACACACACACACACTTGTGAGTTGTAAAAGACGACCAATTTGTGGCCCATAGTGCCAAAAATCCACGATACCGAAAAAGGGTTTCCCCCGTTTATATTATAAAGCAACCATCACCGATAACAATCATCGCAAACAATTCAACACCACACCACACTACCACACAACACACCCAAGGCCGGATACAACAGGTAAAGGAACAACCACGAAGCTGAGCTCTGCGAAAGTAGGCCTCCAAGACGGCGCCTTCAAGAAGGAGAATGACACCGGAGCACCGTCGCCATCGGATCCAAAGGATCATGGTTTTCACCTGAACCATCCGAAGGAGGAGAGTAGCCACGACGACGCCTTCAGGAAGGAGACGACGCCCGCGGACGCCGCCGTCGTAGGCCCAACCGAAGCCGAGTAGGGGATCTCTCCTGGCGCACCCTCCACCTTCAAAACACCTCTGCTAGCCGAAGCACCGGCCACAGCGTCGCCCGAACGGCCATAGCGACCAGCCCACACCTGAGCCGCGCACCCCGCCCACAAGCAACATGACTACCACCACCACTGAGGCCGTTGCCACGTCATCCAAGACCTCCCCCCCCACGCAACCACCACAACGGCTAATGGACGCCACCGACCGGTGAAGAGGTAGAAGGCACCTCCTTCCACCCCAGAACGGACCCTTTGGTGGGAAGGCGGCCCAGCCGGCTAGATCCAGGCAGGGGAGGGGCGCCGGCAGCCGCCGGCCTCGTCCTCGCCGCAACCACCGCACCACTCCACTGGGGACATGGATCACCGAGACATCGGCACGGTCAGGAGGCCCCCTGCCTCCCTCCCCGGATCGCCCCCACCACCACCGGCCAGCCAATGGCACCCCCGTCAAGCCGCCGGCATCCACCAGCCGGCCGCCACCGTTCGCCACACGCACTAGCCGAAGAGTAGAGGAGAGGGGGTCGACCGCCGCCTGAGCCGCCCATCGGCCACCAAGAACGCCTCGAACAGAGCCGCCACAGCCCGCGCCGCCCGCGGGGCAGATCCAGCCGAAGCCGCAGCCGCCACCCCGGCCACGCATCCGCCCGGCATGCCGCTCCGCAACTCCGCCGCCGAGCACAGCTGCGCGCCGCCGCCCGGGAGCGCCCTCCCGCGCCAAGCCCCCATGAGCGGGGAGAGAAAGGGCCCCTCTGCCGCCAGCACCCACCGGGCTTTGCCCGGCGGCGCGGACAGGTGGCGGCGAGGGGAGGGAAGGGAGGGAGGGGGAACGCGCGCTGGCGGCTAGGGTTATCCCCTCGGTTGCTCGCGGGAGCAACTCGAGGGGAGGGAGAGAGTGCCTAATCTTGCCAACCAGATCTCGAGAAGTTCTTTTGAAAATAAATGTAAGACATTTTAGGTCACTACTTTAGTGATTTTTTTTGAAAAGGGGATTACCCCGGCCTCTGCATCATAGGATGCACACAGCCATCTACTTTAGTGATTTAAAACGTCTTATATTTGTTTACAGAGTGATTCTCTCTGACGGTTGTGTTTCCACTGTTCGTTTGAAGCATTCTAAGTGGACAACTTTATGCCTTAAGCACAACACATGTACATCAATGTAAGCATGTGGGTTAAAGGTATCCTTATTGATAAAGCTAATTTCTATTCCAGGTACCAAGAAAGGCTGTGTGCATCACTTTATGCACAGGCCGAGGGGCATCCCCTCTTTTCGAAAAAATTCCAGGTATCAAGAGTCTAATACTATTGTCTGAACCAATTTACCCACACTAAATATTAGGACTAAAGTTTGAAAGGTTTGTTTTTTTCCTGAAGATTATATTCACGTTCTTTACATTGAATCGAGACTTGTGCTTCGCTATCCTATTCAAATATGATTTTTTTTCCTTCCGTTCTTAAGCAATAACCGTAAGCAGAAAATGTATTATGCACAACCAATCTGTTAGTTTTGCTTTACTAGAAAAAAGTCAGTTTTGATGGACAATTAAATGTATTATTTCCTAGTAGTTCAACCTGTTCTCTACTGAACCTTCACCCTAATTTGATTCCATATATTAATCGGTGTCTTCTTTTGCAGGAAACGAGTTACTCAGTGTTAACATTGTCAAATGATCAAGTTGCAGGTGTGCCCCATACCTGTAAATAAGTACGCGATATCCCATGGCTGTGAATTTTTTGTGATACTCCACCATGCTGCCTATATCATGAGTGTAGTCTATTCTTGAAGTATTCAATTCCCATGATCCAATTAAGCTTTTCTGATGTGCCAATTTCGATCGAGGTTATTCCCGACAAACAAGAGTTAGTTAATCTGTGCCAATTTTAGGATTAAATTCACACTAATTTGTCTCGCATCAACCATCATACCGGTTTGGCGTGAATGGCAGCTCTTACATCTTCATCATCCAGCCATATAGTAGCAAGTTCATCACTCTGTGAGGACATATAATTGTTATAAATGAGAGGACCAACCATACTTATGAAATGATGTATGTGTATGGAAAATGAAAACAACAAATTGTAAATGATCTACATATAACTATAAGGGCATTGATATAATTTTCATACCATGCATGGAAGTGATCTACCGCCAAGCTCGGGCCACAACGTGACATGTCCGCTGCTCACAGGAAGACCGAGAGGCCATGAAAGCCCCGCCGTCCTCTTCCTCACTGGGAAAGGCCTCTCTGTTTCACCTAGCTTTCTGAAGCTTGATGGCAAGCTGCTGTTCACGAACGCTGTCTCTTGGACTTCAGGGTGGTGGTAGCATGGTGCAAGAATGTTGTACGTGTTCAGGTCTTTCAGTTCCTGCAGATGACAACACAAATTGAGGCCTTACAGAATTTGGAAGGTTGCGTATTTGCTTGTCGGTTTACAGGTTCTGGTACATGGACATTACCCAACGGTTTCTATCTATATTTTCTTGGCACACATCATTAACTTTTCCCCAGAATGTGCCGTGGCAAGCAGCACTGACATCCCGAAACAGGGCAAACAGTCAAGACACTGTTGGCTTGCTATCTGTCCACAATGAAACTACTTGTGGCACCGGCAATTATGCAGAAACAAGACGAAGCAAAACACCTCAAACAAGTCAGTTGATATGAGACCCATTCCATGTGCAAACGGCACAAAAGAGTTTAAATCGTAGTCTGCGTCGGTTGCTCCATTACCAATTAGATAGCCCTGGCTTCCGCAAAAATAAGAAGAAAAAAAAACAATTAGATAGCCCTGGATGCAAACACCTCAGACTGTAAACTCACACACAAGTTTGCATGCACAACTAAATGACGACGAATAAAATGTTAGTGGGAATGACCTTCAAATTGATTCTTGGCTTCAGAGCCATTTGTATCCCTGTAACGACGTAAATATGAGATGTAAGAAACTTCTGATCTCAACTATGAATAATCTACTCGTTGTGAGTGACAAAATCCACCTTTAAAACTTCATCAGCTAGTGTAGGAATGTATATCCCTGCGTATGACTCTCCGGAAATGTAGAATGGGTTCAACTGAAACTCCGGGTATAACTCGAACCACTGCAACAACGAGTAAAATCAGCATCCAGTTTCTTGCATTATGTCATGTAAATTATCGCAACTGAAGCAGAGATTATTACCTTCAAAAGGAAGATATGCGCCCCTCAAAAAAAGAGAGGAAGATATGCGCATCGGCTGCGGTTTTCAAGTCACCTGTTTTGTAATCGTTGTTCAATGAGTATGACATCCCAACACCAGCAGGGGAGTCCAGGTACATCATGCTTGAAACCTAGTTACTCCAGTTTAATGACACATTTATTCAATCACTTGGCATGGAAAAAAATACTGCTCGTTCTATGACAATTTAGTAGAGCTGAACAAGATTAGTACTCCTAAATTCTGGGCAGGCTGCTGCGGGTAGGCCTGTGCTCCTAAACTGTGTTCAGGTATGCGGATTACCTTTGACCAACTGTAGGGATTGAGCTGCAGCTTGGGCAGCCCTCCGGGAGTGCTCCCGCGCTCAAAGTTGAAGGGACCTGAGCAAAGAACAGGGCACCGGACGGGTCATCCCAGCCAAAATCACAAGATGACAAAAGAAACTGCCGGTCCGGAAGAGAGGTAGAATAAGATCAATCCAGACCGTTCTCGTAGACGAATCCGTCGAAGCTGGAGCAGCCGGGGCCGCCGTTGAGCCAGAGCACGACGGGGTCGATGGCCGGATCACGCTCCGACAGCACCAGGTATGTTTCTGTCCTTGTAGTAGGCGTAGAGGCGCTGCCATTTGCCGGCGGATATTGGGGCCTATTGGTGGCCGCCGGCAACCCCTCGACTGCGAGGAGGTGTATCCGTCTTTTATTACAGAAATTCGTAGTCGTCGGAGCAGATTCATAGTGCCTAATGATTGACACAAACTGCCCCATCATGAACTGAAATATCCGTGGCTTAAACACGCCGGCGCGACACGCAGTCGTCTGCGAAACGGCAGAAACTCACAGGCTAGCCATCCTGTGCCTCCAGGAGACAAATCGAAACCTGGAATCGCCCCATGGTCAAGGACGTTGGCGGTGCAAGGCTAGCCGATTGCGTCGTGCTCCCCGCCTCCGGCACCAGGGGAGGGGCAACAATCTTCTGGGACAACACAGTTGTAGATGTGCAGTCGCATGCCATTGGCCTCTTCTCTATCACTGCCCGCGTCATCTTGAGGTCAATCGCAACAGCGTTTTGGCTGACCACGGTGTACGGCCCCGTAGACGATGGTAGAAAGGACGAATTCCTGTCAAAAATAGCTAGGACGGCGCCGCCACCAAACGACCCATGGCTCATCAACAGCGATTTCAACCTCATATACAAGGCTAGTGACAAGAACAATAGCAACATTAACCGTAGAATAATGGGCAAATTCCGCGCGGCGATCGACGCCGCAGGCCTCCGGGAAATTAGATGCAAGAACCGCCGTTTCGCATGGAGTAACGAGCGAGACGATCCGACCCTCGTCAGCATCGACAAGTTCTTCTGCAGCAACGCCTGGGACGCCCTATTCCCAACCTTCCTCCTGCACGCCGCTTCAACGTCCTGCTCCGATCACTGCCCCCTTTTGCTCGCCGCAGCAGCTGCACCACGCCGACTGGCTCGTTTCTGGTTTGAATCCTTCTGGCCGCGTTTCCCCCGTTTCCATGAAACGGTGCAACATGCGTGGGATCGCCCCGTAGCCTCTAACTGTGCATAGAAACGCATCCGTGTCAAACTAGATAGGGTGGCAAAGGATCTCAAAATCTGGGCAAAGGGGTTTTTCAGCAACACCCGCCTTCAGCTGCAGATCGCAAATGAGGTTGTCCTCCGCCTTGACACCGCCCAAGAACATAGGCAGCTCTCTGTCGGCGAGCTCGCCCTCCGCAAGAAGCTCAAGCTCCGCGTCCTCAGACTGGCGGCGATCGAGAGAGCCAGGAAGCGCCAGGCCTCGTGCATCACTTGGCTGCGGGCTGGTGATGCCCGATCGGCCTTCTTCCAGGCCAAAAGCAACGCTAGGAGGAAGAAAAATTTCATCCACGCCATCCACACGCCAAACTCCACTTTCACGTCACACAACGACAAGGCCGACGTCATCTATGACCACTTCAGCTCCTCCCTTGGGGCGGCGCCGGCTAGAGATACCACCATTGCCCGAAGCTCGCTCAATCTCCCGTCGCTGTCGGCTGTAGGGTTAGATAACCCATTCTCGGAGGAGGAGGTCTGGCAAGCGATTTGTGCCTCTCCGCAGGAAAAAGCGCCCGGCCCAGATGGCTTCAACGGAACATTCTTCCGAGCTTGCTGGTCAATCATTAAGCTAGACGTCATGTCTGTTTTCCACCAGTTCTACCACCTTGCCAGAGGGGACATGGCCGCCATCAACCGGGCAATGATCGTTCTCCTCCCCAAGAAGGATGGAGCGGCCGCGATCATGGACTATCGCCCGATTAGTCTGATCAATTCAATAGCGAAACTAATCTCCAAGGTCCTCTCCATGAGGCTGGTGAAGGTGATCCACACTATCATTTCTCGGCGCAAACGACGTTCCTGAAAACCAAATGCATCCATGATAGTTATCTCTATGTGCAGAACACCATTCGCCACCTCCATCGATGCAAAACGCCGGCACTGCTCATGAAGCTCGACATCGAGAAGGCGTTCGACACGGTCTCGTGGGACTACTTGCTTGAGTTGCTACAGCAGCTAGGGTTTAGCGCGCGCTGGCGAGATTGGGTGGCCCTGCTCCTCTCCTCGGCGTCCTCGGCGGTCTCTTTGAACGGGGTGCCAAGCCGCCACTTTGCTCACCGCCACGGCCTTCGCTAGGGCGACCCGCTTTCACCGCTTCTCTTCATCCTCGCCATAGACCCTCCACACCATCTGTTGGCAAAAGCGGTCGAGCTACAACTCCTAAAACATATACTTGGCCGCGAGTTGAAGCTCAGGGTGAGTCTCTGCGCCGACGACGCGGTTGTCTTTGTCAACCAAATCTGCCAGGAGGTCGATGCTCTCCTGGGCATCCTATGCCAATTCGGACGCGCTACAGGCCTAAGCATCAACACAGAAAAATCCACGGCATCACCGGTTAGCTGCAATGACCTAGACCTCAATCGCCCCTTCTCCGATCAAATACCTGGGACTGCCACTCATCACCGGCCGGCTTCGACTAGAGCACCTGCAGTTCATTATCGATAGGATCAAGGCCCGGCTCGCGGGTTGGAAGAAAAACCTAATCCACATCACGGGGCGACGCGTGCTGGTCCGCTGCGTTCTCAGCGCCATGCCGACCTTTGCGCTTATAGTGCTGAAGGTGCCGAAAAAGATCCTCAAGGAAATCGACAAATGTCGCCGGCGTTTCCTCTGGAAGCAAGACGAGGAAATCTCCGGCGCAAGCTGCAAAGTTAACTGGGCAATGGTCTGTACTCCAACGAAAAACGGAGGCCTGGGAGTCCCTGACCTCACGCGGTTCGGACGAGCCCTTCGCCTGCGCTGGCCCTGGCTCGCATGGCGCCACCCCGAGCGCCCATGGGTGGGCTTGGTCCTGCCATGCAACAACGACGACCTCTCCCTCTTCACGACGGCCACCTTGGTTAGCATCGGCGATGGCGCGACGGCGTCCTTCTGGCACTCTCATTGGATGGGGCCGAGCACGCTCGCCCAGCAATTCCTGCGGCTGGTTCTGCATGCCCGCAGAAAGAACAGGATGGTGAAGGAGGCCCTGGCGGACGACACCTGGATCAGGGACCTAGACCATGGCCGCACTGAACAACTGATCCACGACGTCCTGGCCTTGCATAGACGGCTCCATGGCGTAGCCGACATACTTCATGCGGGCACCCCCGACTCCATTAGATGGATCCTCGAGCGGTCGGGCGAATACTTGGCAGCATCAGCTTATCGGATGCAATTCCAGGGCATGACGTCCTCGGTTTTCGGCAAGATCATATGGTGTGCTTGGGCCCCTGGCAAGATCAAGATGTTTGCTTGGCTCATGCTGCAAAACAAGCTGTGGTGCAACGACAGACTTCAACGCCACGGCTGGAAGAACGAGTACTTCTGCCAGCTATGCACTCGAAACCTTGAATCCTCCAAGCATCTGTTCTGGGAGTGCCCAATGGCCAGAGGTGTCTGGGAAACGATAAGCTCTTGGACTGGCTGCACCTCGTTAGCTCCGGCTGCGGGCTGGGGAGACCTCCATCACTCCTCCATTGCGTTTGCCGCCCTAGTCAGGGCCGCACCCAGATGGCGGAAAGGCACCAACATGCTACTTTTGCTGGTTTGTTGGGAGATATGGCAAGAACGGAACAACGCCACCTTCAGGAAAAGCACCCCAAGGGCCTCGAACATCATCAAAAGGATCAAAGATTGCATTGATCCCTGGCGAGCCGCAGGTGCATCCTGCATTGAGAGCCCCTTTGGGGAACCACCATGAGATATAAACCCTAGACTTTTATTGCTCGAGGACTGCCGATCTGTGGCAAGCCCTCTGATCCCCTGGATCCTCACCCCCCTTTTTGTTTCCCCCTGCTTCCTGCTTATCAATGAAATGCCAGCAACGAGCTGGATCTTTCAAAAAAAAGACAACACCAGGTAGTAGAACAGCCTCCTACCATTGCTCTCGTCCACGGTTATGTACCCGACGTAGTGTTTGGATGGGAGGGCGCTGTCGAAGCCCGGGAGGTGGGTCACGAGGTGCTTCTCTGGAGCTGCAATGGCGAGAGGGATGAGGGGTAGCAGAAGAGCGAGGAGGAGGATGAGGAAGGGGAACCGGATCCTCTAACATCGTGAAGGAAAATCACAGTGCTATGGTGTCTGTCTAATGTAAAATGAAAGGAAAGTTAGGGACTGTTAGTAGATAGTTAGTA